AAAAATTTGAAGAGAGGTGATTGTGTTTAAAAGGTATGTCAGTATATGATAAGAGAGTGGGAGTATTATATCTCTTCAAAAAGATACCATCACAGGCGTTAGTACATCTATTGAAAAGAAAGAGGAGGAAAAGATCTTTATTGACTATCCAGTAAATCTTGTTTCAACAGTTTTCTTTTCTAAATACCACTGATATAGAAGATTTGCTTGTCCTGTATTCACCTGCACCCAAAGCATGTGACTTATAGTGGATCCCAGATTCTTATGAAGCTGAGGAAATGCATTCAGACATATAAAGTGACCAATAGAAGCTTGTTTACTTCTTTTACTAATATGAGCTCTATCTGTCCAATCACGATATAAAAAACTTTATGCTACTCAAAATTCAGGATCAAACTAAGGTAGGCAAAATTCCCTAGAAAAAATCAAGAACAAGTACTATGAGAAGTTATCAATGACAAGAAAGTGGAAAAGTTGTCTTTTGTCATAAACACACTTCTGTATTGTTTTTTTATAGTGTGAGATGATGATACATTATTTCTTCTTCTTTTCAAAACTTTCTTGCCCTTAGTAGGAAAGGTGTTGCTTGACTTTCTGGCCACTAATGGTTAAGTTTTTGTTTGAAAAGGAGTATTAACAAGAAGAAAGAAAAGTAATAATGACTCTTGAAGTTTTTTCAAATTGGTTTAAGGAAAGTGTTAAGACTTTATTAATATAGAAGTATGATAACTTCTTGTGAACATCTTTTTTGTATGTGATTAGAGGATCAGCAAAAAGAGTTTTGATTAGAAATATCTACAATATTATATAAACTATTTATATGATAACTAACTTGTTTTTTTTATCTCTCTATCAGGTCATTTACAGTATATATGCTTTATTAAACAGTTATAGGCTATATATTATATACTGTATATGATACTAAAGCTAAATTTCTAACTAACTCACTCATCAAAGTTTTTATCTAAAACTCTAAGTACAATTTCAAAAGTAATTTATAGCTTAGTTAACAATTCAGATAGAAACCCTTCCAACTTTCAACTTCAATGCCTGCAGATCACTATTGCAAATCAATTTCCAAGATTTTGACAAGGATAAAAATCCAATCATTTTGTTTTATACTTAATTCTATTTCTTATAATTCCTATAAGGTTTTTGTTTTCACTTTTACTTTTATTTTCTCTTTGCCTTGTAATTTTATAATTAGAATCTTCTTGCTGAGTATCTTGTCTTCTTACCTTTTGGACCTTCTTGTATTTTACCTTTCTATTAATTCTTTATGCTTATTCCTATTCTATAATCTTTTCATATCTTATATTTCAAACTTGTTTATGGATCTGATTGCAGACCTTCTTTTGTACTCTTAAAATTTATTTTTTTGCTATTGTTCCTATCTTTTTACTATGCCAATTTAGATTAGAGGCTTCTTTGATTATCTCATTTTCTACTAACCCTGCACAAAGCTGAGTATACTTAAACTAGTTTGCAAGGCTGCTTCTATAAGTTTGGAGGTCTATCTATCTATCTCACCTTTCTCCCTTCTATTGTTAATTGATAGTTGTATCTCCTTTTCATCTGCTTTTCTTTTTCTATCTTGATACAACTTATCAAATTCTTTGTTAAATATTTTAGATCTTTTTTTCCATGCTACCAAACTCTCATTTTTATAACCAGGACATTCTAGTAGATGTTCAATCATCTTCCTTGCTAATTGTATGCTATATAGTTTGCTTATTTATATAAATTAGATCTTCTTATTACTAGCTTACTTAAAATAGGTAGTTTATCATTGATCAATTTGATCAGGAAACTTCTTCTTTGTGAACCTTTGAAAGAGATATCCTATGTACTGCCATCCTTTAACCTATTTCATATCAGGTCCCATGAATAGGTTTAATGTTCTTGAATTTGATGATGTCATTTTGTCTCTGTTCTATGTTGTTGTATCCATAACAAGGCAGTTGATCTCTTATTGATTTGTTTGATAAACTGTTAAATTGAACTATTCATTATATCTTTTTATCACAATATTACTATAGATATTTTGCTGGATTTGAAGCTATTCTACTTTATTGCTGGAAGCTTTAATACTTCTTTGGTCAATTAGTTTATTTCTTTATTCTATGGATTATTGGAGTAAGCTTTAACTTTAGTTAAAGTTAGTTAAATATACTTTTCTTTATGAGATCTAGTATTCTTGTCTATAATGATTAGTTCTTTTCTTTTAGCTATCTTTTGTGTATTATCTTTGGATCTTCTTTTTCAAGTTTTTTCTATTTGAAGATATAGACTTGACTATCAGTAAAGATTTTTATTATACTATCTATTGGAACTACTAAAACTATTGTAGCTAGTATCACCAATTCTGCTCTTATAAATGAAAGTCAGTTTTTAACTCCTGTTTAAAATTTACTTTTTTTTTCAGCTCCTTTAGTTTATATCCATGCTGCTTCTATTCTTGCATTTTTATTTCTATGATAGTTCAAGAATTCATCTAAGTAAAAGATCAGCTTTTTCTATAGTCTTTGATTATATTAAAGAATTTTGAGTAAGTAATCTGGATATACTTCTTGTTTAATATTGTCTCTAATTATTTCTTATTTTCAGTCTCCTATTAGTACATATTCCATTCTTTCAATTTGATTATTTCTTTGATCTTGAGTTTTTGGAACTATACTTATTGTTATCCTATCAAGCTCAAGTAGAGGACAAGAAATCTTCAGTGATTGTACTTTTCTGATATTTTTTTGGTAGTTTAGAAATGGTATAATATAGATCATATCTGATTCTACTTCTATATTGTATTTATTTCTCTTTCTATTATTTAGGAGACATTTTAAGCATTTTGTAAGAACTGATTCTAGACTATCTTCTATTTTTTGTTAATTAAAGTGATAGATCGTAGCTATACTGTGGCTATTTTCTCAAATTAGTTTTTCTATCATTAGTTGCTAACTTTCTTTCTAAGTAACTACCCAAGTTTTCTTTCTTTTGTCTTTACTAAGTTTAGACTTAATATATTTTTGTATTTATTTTTCTTTCCACCTCTTTCCCCAGAGTTTTGTAAGATCTTTTGTACTTTCTTTAGTTGTAGATTTTTGCAAGATATTATATCATTCTAGGATTGGATCCTTGCTTGCATTTTGTATAAATTGAATCATTCTCCAATTTTTAAACTCTATGGAGTTTTGACTTATTAGCAAGTCTATATACATTAATTTATTGTTTCATAAGGATAGTATTGTCTTTTTATATTCTTCAGGTATTAAATATTCTTAAATTAAACTGTTGTTTTTGGTCTATTCAAAAATATCATTTCACTTTCAACTCTGAAACATTATTCCTAAGTCCTTGACTAGCTTTAAGATCTGTAATATAAAATTTCTTTTATCATTGAAATTGCACAAGGATTTACATAAAAAAAAAATGTGGAGCTCCTAATGTTTAATTTGTACTTGTTTCAATCTAATGATTGCAGTAAGCTCTGTTGAATCTTGATCATTTATTTTATTATAGATCCTATAATTTGGCTTTCTTTTTGAAGTGTTTATATACTTTTGAGGTTATGTATCTTTAGATGATGTATTATACTATTATAGATGGATCTATACAAAGCTGTTTTGTTCTTTAATAATTTATAATATACTGCTATTAAGTTATGGCATATTTTCCAAAATAATATATTATATTGCATTCTAAACTCTATTCTTGAAATCAATACTTTATTTAGTATATAGAGGGCTTACATATCTATTATTTTCTTGTTTTTGAAAGCTCTGATGATGATATTGATTTCTTTTAATATGCTTTCTTTAAGTTCTATTGTAGTTTTTAATTGTCTGTCTAAATTTCTAGAAATTTTGCTTGCTCTTTCCTATATAGTTCTCTAACTACTTCTTTATTAATTCTAACATGAACTTCTTCTGAATAAAAGTTAGAGTTGTTAATAGTTACTAGTACCAATTTACTACTATTAATCTGGGAGTCATTTGCTTTGTAAAAGATTCTTGCAATCTCTAGAATCTTTTCCATATCTTCTTTGGACCTTGCTATCCAAGTGGTATTATTCATAAAGGTTATGACTGCATGTCAATTCTAGCCTTTTAGTGATATTACTATTTAGTTTAGGATTCCATTAGACTGCCATTTTATATCCATATTCTTTATTTTCTTGGATTTTACATAACAAGAAGTCATAAAAGATTCTTCACATAAGTGGCGAGATGGTTTCTCCTTGATCAATTCCATCTTTTGCCCTTATTAGTTCCATGAGATCATATTCAAATATTACTTTGATCTCTTTATTTCAGAACAGGCTCATCATAATCTTAATAAATTCTTTAGATACTTTTATTCTTTCCATTGCTTTTGTTAACATTTCCAGACTGATAGTGTCATATGCCTTGGCTATGTCTTGTTTTTAAATTATATTTATAAATATTGTATTAATACATATTTACCATAGGAATATTTAAATTTAATATTATCTGATTATTGTTAATACTTGATTTTTTTAATATAATAAAATATACTGTATATACTTTATAACCAAGAAAATGTATACATTCTACAAATTAAGATAATTTTCGTAGTTCGGGGTATGTCGAATCTCATGTTTGAATTAATTTGTGTATTCGGCTTGTCAAAACTATAAATAAAAATGTAGTAGGTCACAAATTTTGATTTACTAGCGTTATATATTTCTATCATTCCGGCATCGCACAAATTCAGAAAATTTTTCATTAACACCATTTTATTTTACATTAAAATAGATTAAAATTTTTACTCAATTAAGCTATCTTTCGTCATTTTGGCTAACCATTTATTCAAAAAATTATTTGAGATTGAGTCAACATCAAGTATAACCAATAGTGAATACCAACGCTCTCTTGCATAAATTATTGATCCAGCAAGATTTTAATGTACCTAAAATAAATTAAGTTTAGCAAAATTTTGACCACGGGCAAATAAATTTCCATTTATAACAATAAATATAATATTTACTTTCGATCGGTCTTAGTCGAAGCTTTATGTTGAACTTTTTCTTTCTTAATTTTGCCAGCCTTGCGTTTTTCTGCTGCAATAATTTCAGCCCTTCGCAGAACCTTTGCATAAGGATTTAACCGAATTTTTACTCCATTGTTGCGAAGGGGATTTTTCTTTTGAGTCCAAGGGCGTTTCTGATGTTTCTCTCCAGCAGGTCGAAGAGCTTGTTGAATCTCTTTGGAATTAATGATGCTAGTTACATCAGGATTGGTAATAATGTGACTCGGTAAGCTTTTTTTTTTTTTAAAAAAAGAGGAACACGGGATAAGTAAGTGATAAGTGACAGAACGGTTAATTAAAGAAAAAAAAAAGATTAACATTAAATGGTAAGTTAAAGATACCTGTAGTCTTTCTTCAGAGAAGCAACCTTTGCATATGTTCCAAACAATTCATCCAATAAAGAGAAAGCCCCCTGAGACCAGATAATAAATCTACCCAAGTGACCGCCAGGTGCTAACTGTAACAAATTCAAATGTCTAACATTGACAAGTTCAACTCCAGGAATATTGCGAAAGGCCTTGACAACTCCGTGATCTTCGTTATAAACTATCAAGGGACCTCTACGTTGTCGATGACGTCTGTTACGTAGTTTACCCTTGCCGGCCCTCAACTTACGAGAGTTTGAAACTTTGACCACATCTCTGTGGGCCTTGACACTTTTCAAAAGACCAACAGCTGTTTTGGTTTTGGTCAAAGATTCAATACCGTCACCGACTACAAGTGGCACTTCTTTAATCTCTTCAATACGATGACCTCGTGCCAAGACAAGAGATGGAATAGAAGATGCCGCCAAGGCCGACGTAATGGCAAATCTTTTTTGATTCAAGTTAGTTTTAATGTGCCATTTACGCCAGATTTTGGTAGGTGCAAACATTCGACCTCCCCTGCACATGTTACCAAAGGCACCCTTTTTTTTTGGAAGAAAAAAAAAATATAATTCGATCAACAACTATTTTTTTTGTTACGAAATCTAATGTGTTGACACTCGAATTTTAATTACCTGTCCTGCACGGTGTGTACCACCGCCAGAGACACGGGGGATACGAGCAACCGCACGACCAGTTCCCCACGATTCGGCTGAAGTTTGATGCCCAGCTTTTGAGGACACGGCATAAGGTTGACGATTACTCTTGGAAATATTTGAATGAACAAATCTTACAACGTCAGGTCGAATTGGTGCTTTGAATACTGCCGGAAGCGACACGCTGGTAATGATTTCTTCTCCTGCATCGGAGTATACATTAATTTGAGGTCTCTCCGCGGACTTGTTGAGTATTAGGTATGAAAATTTGTCAGTAAATAATAGTTACTACAATAATTAGATCACATAAACGCAACCTCGGGAACATGTATTCTCAAATCGTAGATTGAAATTAATTTGAACTTTGATCTATCATTTTTCTATATCCTCACATGTTCACTCTCTTAGGATACTAGCCAGCCCACATTATCGCATTAGTTATAAACTGAATGAGCTGGCATGAAGGATTGATTATAAAAAACTCACCATCTTCTAGATGACAAGAGCGGTAAAAGGGAAGAACGTCTTCAGTAAAAAATTTTTTTATAAATAGTAAAGTATGTTGAGTATTTGATTGGCTGAAGATGGTGACAAATTTTTTTTGATAACGATGTCGATTTTCTTCAAATTAAATACTATATGATTCTGTGACCGACGCGAAAAAATCGCTTTGCATAGTAATATAAACGTTCGGATTCACGAGTGTACGCTTTTATGCCATCTACCATTCAATTGTTCCATCTCTCGTTCCAAATACAGTCGCCACGGGAAGTCACGCCCGATTTTTAATAAGAAGTTACTCGGTGAGGACTGTACGAGAATCATGAATTACCAAATGTAGAGATGTGATAGGTTACCATAAAATGGGCCACCCTGTTTTTTACAGTATAATGATACGAAATTTGCGCAGGTCTTGAAATGCCGGAGAAAAAAAATCGGTAATTTTACTGATCTCGAAAAAATAAGTCAGATCTTATAAATTATTTACGTAACTCAAAAAAAAAAAAAAGTGACATGCCTAAGTTTAAAGTTCACATTGTTGGTAAAGATAAAGCCTTTGTATGGGACGCTGAAGGTAAAATTGATTTAACCTTTTAAGGTGGCAGCATATGCGCTTAGCTTAATGACCACTTTTCAATTACATATAAGCTATTGATTCTTTACGCAAGGATTATCGTATAATCGGTTCGTTGGTAGGTAGTCTCTCACGGTATCCACTGCAAAATCAATTTTTGGGTTTACCTTTATCCCTTATGCCTGAGGAAACAACGTTGCTCTTGTCAAAAGGTGAAAATTATCTATGCTCGAATACTTAAGTTTGCATTTCATGATATCAACTTTTCTCACCAATAACTTCTTTGAAAACAGGTATAGTGACTTTGATTAACGAAGAAGGGAGTCATCGATCTCCTACAAATTCACAAATCGAAGTATTTAACAAACAGATATTAGAGAACGAGGGATTTCAATTGCAAAAATATTTACATTCCAAAGAGGAGAAAAAAAAAATGATAAAATTAGCGAGGAAAGAAAAGCATGAACACGAAAATTCTGAATCTAAGGAGAACGAACAGGGACAGAACGATGATACTAGAGATTATGCACAAGATGCGCAACGTCGATTACACGAGGATAATTTACGATGCCTGATAAACGAGCAAAGTTCAAAGGAATTACCTAAGAGGATAAAAACACAGACTAAAGGATTCGTTCCGGCGATAACCATAAAAACAAAATCTGACTCATTCGCGTGGTATGATGATAATGCGCATGGCTTTGATTCTCTAGAAGCAGCCAGGAAATCCAATTTTTGGACCTGGCCTCAAACTGAAAAGGAAGAGCATAGGTACAAAGTGTTTTGTGACCTATGGAAGAAAGGATATTATATCACAAGCGGCGTCAAGTTTGGAGGAGATTATCTCTTGTATTCGGGTAACTGGAAATCTTTATTGCGATAATAAAGTTCTTTCGTTTACTGACCACCTTCACCTCTAATTGAAATTGTTAGATGATCCTCTAAGGCAACACAGTCATTTCATAGCTACTATACTGGATATGAATAGAGTGATTTCACCCTTGGACATCGTTACATTTGGTCGACTAGGAACAGCAGTAAAAAAATCTTATATGTTATGTTCATGGGATCAGAATCTTAACAAACCGACGTACGTTTGTGTTGAGTGGGCCGGATTCTAGAGTGTAATGCTGACATTTTCCGGTTAATTCTAGGGATTTAAATATTTGATAATGCACCTTTGAAAATGAAAATAAAAATGTATATAACATAATGTTTAAACAAGTCTTGTCATATTTATTATCAAATTTGAATTTTACATATTATATATCATCATACCTTTTTTTCAAAATAGTATGCTAGATTAAATTATTTAATTGGTATTTTTTTAAAAAAAATTAAAATTTAATTTTAAATAAAATTTAATCCAAAAGAATATAAAAAAAATAGCAATAATATATTAGTCAAAAAAAAAATTATTTGACATACTGTCACTTATGTAACATTTAGCAAAATAATAAACAATTTGGCAAAAAAATGATATAAATAAATCGGCAATTATATTCAATTATAAATATTATAAAAATTGATATATTTATAATTTATTAACAATTTGTTAAAAAACTCATTAACAAAATATCAAATAATTCATTAACTATTTAGCAAAAATTTATAACAATTCAATAAAAGTTCATTACAAAATTATTTATTAGCAATTTGATAAAAATTTAGTATTAATTTATTAATAATTTGTCAAAAATTTATTAATAATTTGTCAACTATTCATGAAAACTATTTATTAAAAATTCATCAAATATTCATTAAAAATTTGGCAACTATTTATTAACAATTTATCAACTATTTATTAAAACTATTCATTAAAAATTTGACAATTATTTATCAAAAATAAAATAAAAAAATTAATAAACTTATATATAAATTTTTCTGAATTGAAATTATATTTATAAATTATAAATAATACAAACTATAATATAATATATAATGATGGAGTAAAAAAACACTTTGCATTGATTTTTTAATAATATACAAAAAAGACATATTGTGATCAAATTTATATTTGACCGGTGTGTCCAAATGGAATTGCTTTTAAAGGACAATTCCCAAAGAAAGAATTAAAGAAACAGTTTATAATAAAGAAATATTCAAGAAGAAATTTACCAAGAATCCTTTAAACAGTGCCACAAAGTGTTTTCCATAAAATATGGTTTACTCAGAATCCAAGTTTATATTAATAAATCAAGAAAATTAGGACAATTCCTTTAGTTCTAAAATCAAAAGAAAATATCTAATCTCATAAAAGAAAAGTGAAGTTATTCCTAAACTTCCAAAGTCAAGTGAAGCTATCCACAAACTTCTAAAGTCAAGTGAAGTTATTATCAAACTTATCCTACTTTTGAACGAATTATAACTGCTTATATACTTGTAAAAATGGACCACTTGGGCCACTTGGGTCTTCTAGGTCTCCTGGACTGCCTGATTTACGGTAAATTATGTCACATGTTACATTTGATAAAATGATCTATGCTAATCAAGTACCAATAAGAATATCAAAGAATATCAAAGAAATAATTATAAATA